TTAGTATTCTTGTATGCTATTGATGCCAGTGGACTGATTTTTTTTATTGCATTGACTCTAATTTATATATGTGTATATACACAAGTATATCTGTACATGTGTGTATAGAACCCTCATATAACCTTTCCTAGTCCTGACTAGTAATTTCTCACTCTTTTTCACAAATATGACTCCATCATTATTGTTTTAATGTGTTTTATTTTGCTCTTTGCATCTGCCTTCACTCATGTCTACAAATATGTAGGCATGAGTACAAATATAGACATGGAAGTAAGATGTAAGTATAAAGATATCAAAACTAAATTAGCCAAGATTTTTTTAAACACCAACTGAATTTATTAATATCTCAAGCTCAAACTCCTGGCCATCAAGTAATTCCGACTTATAACGACCCCATAGGAGAGGGTAGAACTGTCCCATGTTTCCCAGGCAGTAATTCTGCACAGGAGTAGAAAGGCTCCCTCCTTAATAACATCTAAATAGGCTATATATTTTTTTAGTAGCTACTAAGTATAACAAAGGAAAAATATTAACCTTTTTTAAATTGTAAATTTTTTAAAAAATCATTTTACTGGGGGCTCATACAACTCTTATCACAATCCATCCATCCATCCATTGTGTTACATTTGTTGCCATCATCATTTTCAAAACATTTTCTTTCTACATGAGCCCCTGGTATCAGCCCTCATTTTTTTCCTCACCCTCCCTCCTGAACCTTTGATAATTTATAGATTATTATTTTTCCATGTCTTACACTGACCGATGTCTCCCTTCACCCTCTTTTCTGTTGTCCGTCCCCCTGGGAGGAGGGGGTTATATGTAGATCATTATGCTTGGTTCCCCCTTTTTCCCCCCACCTTACCTTACCCTCCTGATATCACTACTCTCTATTGGTCCTGAGGGGTTTATCTGTCCTGGATTCCCTGTGTTTCCAGCTCTTATCTATACGCGTGTACATGCTCCGGCTTAGCTGGATTTGTAAGGTAGAATTGGGATCATGATAGAATTGGGGAGGAAGCATTAAAGAACTAGAGGAAAGTTGTATGGTTCATCGGTGCTTTACTGACCCTGACTGGCTCGTCTCTTCCTTGTGACCCTTCTGTGAGGGCATGTCCAATTGTCTACAGATGGACTTTGGGTCTCCACTCCACACTCCCCCTCATTCCCATTGATAAGATTTGTTTGTTCTGGGTCTTTAATGCCATCTGATCCCATTGACACCTCATGGCCACACAGGCTGGTTGCCTCTTCCATGTGGGCTTTCTTGTTTCTCAGCTACATAGCTCCTTGTTCATCTTCAATCCTTTAAGACCCCAGACGCTATATCTTTTGATAGCCGAGTACCATTAGCTTTCTTCACCACATTTGCTTATGCACCCATTTTGTTGTCAGCAATCGTACCTTTGTTCTGATTACCAGGAACCCTGGGGGCATAGTGGGTTGTGCTTTGGGCTGCTAACCATAAGGTCATCAGTTCATCCAACAGATGCTCCGAGGGAGAAAGTGAGGCTACTTTGTCTGTTTTGTTTTATTTTGAGTCTTTCTGATTGATTCGGTAAACTAAACTGTGATCGCAATTTCACATTGGACCTAGTACCTTCAGAAGTTACTTTGTAGGTGACTTATATGGTACAAGCAGTGTTGTTTAAAATGGTGATAATTTCCAAAAGAGCAGATAAAATATTTTAGTGTTCAATAGTAGTAAATTAAAAAGTGTACTGAGAGTAGATTTTTTTTCTTTAAAATTTAACCTACAACTAACAAAGGTGGCGTTAACCATATTCCAGCTTTGTTCTAAAAGTAGAATATGTATAACTTGGGTTGACTTGATAAAGACTGGCAATGGGCCAATAAGGCTAAAAGGCCTCATCCTGGAGAATGAAAGGGGATAGGGTCAGGGGTCATGAAATAAGGGAACCAGAGGGATGGAGCTCTGGGTGGGGCATGGCAGGACTAGTTGATTGATGAAGCTTTACAGTGTTCAGAGAGAAAGAGAAAAACTTCCTCATGGAAACATGCATAAGGGAGGCAAACAGTTCTCAGAAGTCCTGCATCATATACTCACATAACACGTTTTTTCATGCAAATTAGTGAGGCACCTGGAAAGTAGTAGACACATTGATTGAGAACCTGAAGTCACTAGATTGCCAAGACTAGAAAGCCGTTTGAACAGTAAACCAAAGCCTCTTCAATTTCTAGAATCTTGTCTCAGAAGCACAGCAATTTCTGAGAACCCAATTTTTCATCACAATAAGCAGAATTTTTCATATGAACATTAAACCTTATTTTTCCTCAAATATATGGTGACAAATTTACAGGATAAGAAGATACGCAGAAGTAAAACGAATAAATTTCTATGGGAATAAGCACTATAGAGTATATCTTTTCCACCTTAGTTCTATTTTCAAACTCATTGCCATCAAGTCAATTCTGACTCAGAGTGACCCGATAGAACAGTGGTTCTCAAGCTTCCTAATGGCGCAACCCTTTACACAGTGCCTCATGTTGGAGTTACCCCTAACCATCAAATTATTTTCGTTGCTACTTCATAACTCTAATTTTGCTACTGTTAAGAATCGTAATGTGTCTCCCGATGGTCTTAGGTGACCTCTGTGAAAGGGTCATTTGACCCCCCAAAG